TGACTGTGAGGCAAAGTTGGCAGGTTCTCGACTAACCCAGGGAGGTTATGAATGCTCCATCCCTGGCGGTGTTCAAGGCCAGGTTGGACAAAGCCTTGGGTAGCATGGTTTAGTGTGATGTGTCCCTGCCCATGGCAGGGGGGTTGGAACTAGATGATCTTAAGCTCCCTTCCAACCTTAATTATTCTATGATTCTATGATTAAAACAGAAACCAAGCAGTCAACTTTAGCCATCTGTATTCCAACTAAACACTTCTTAACCTGAGTCTACACTAAGAAAGAAAAAATAACATTTATACCAAAGTTAGTTAAAATACATTGATTTGCTTTAGGCTCCTAATCTTCCTATACCCTTCATCCACCTACACACACCTTCCCCCTCTTTGTATATTGCTGATCAAAACTGACCAGTTGGTTCTGGGCAAGAATCACAGCAAATACCAACTGAGTTTCACTTCTGTGACACAGTCTTGCTAGGAGACCACACATGAGTGTATTTTATCCACCCTAAAGCAGAGAGACTGACTAGATTAACCCTGGTCCTAGCTTTGCTGACTTCTCTAAAACTACTAAACTTAAGGACCTATGTTAATCTTTTCTTTTAGTCTAGAATCTTCTGTTACCAGACCAAAGATCTTTTCAGCCTTATAGCGCCTTCTCTTCATTGAGCTGCACTGTACCTTTGTGGTCCTCCCCCAAGCCCTGAAAAAGTGCAGTACCCTGCATCTTCATGTGGAGTAACTTAGAAATGGCTGCCTCTTTGTTCCACCCTTCTGTTCTCACAAGGGCACCACTGTTTTCCTCATGAGCCTCATCTGTTCATTTCCTGGATCTCTATAAGCCTGTGTCAATGTCTTATTTCACTGATCCTTAACCATAACGTTTCCCAGTCCCATCACTTGCACTCTTTGAACTAGAAACACTCCTATTGGAAGAGGTACTGTAACTGCAGTCTTGCCTCTTCCTACAGACTGCTGTACAGGTATCTTGAGAAAATCTGTGACTCCCAAGCAGCTCTCTGCCAACCAGTCACAAGACAGTGCCTTCAAAACAATGAGGAAGGAAGCAAAGTAAACAGTTGCTCACTCTTCAGTAAGTAAATCTAATTTAGAGAAGTACTTGATTCACATATGGACAACTGGAACGCCCTACAAAGCTTCCCCGGAGCAGAGGCATCAATAAAGATGGCTGTATCACTTAAGGAATTAGTCCAGATTATAAAGCCTTTCTCCTCAGAAAGAACCTTTTTACCTTTGGATTTAGGTACAATTTATACTAAAGATGGCAACAGGTGATGGTGAGATTTATTATACTAACCTACCTACACCAATACATGTACAAACACCATGTCTGTATAAGTCTGTTCTCCTAAGAGAGGATTACAAATAACTCAGTGGTGAAGGAAAAAAAACAGCAAACCAACCCTGAACTTCTTTGCCCAAAATGTATGCAGTGTGACTGTCTTTGTTCAGGAAATGAAATTATGCAGTATGCCAAACCCTCCCCTGTTCCCATCTGCGCGCTCTGTATCAATGAAGTGCTCTTGCTTATGGACTTCAAGTGGTAGCAGGTGAGAGTGGTTTATAAATTCATTAAAAGGCTGAAATGTCTTAATTTCACCATTTGCTTCTCTTTGGACTTCTTTTTTTTACCTTAACACCAACTGAATCACAAAGGAACATATGAAATTAACACATCTGCATTCTCAACCCATTATAAAAAGCTTATTTGAACACACTAGTAAAAACCCTAAGATTTGGAAAGGAATAATTTCTTGAGAAGAAACTTGAAGATGTATTAAAATGGGAACAAAGTATTTGAATACAACACTTCTGTTAGCAAAAACTGGCAAATCCACTTTTAAATAAAAAGTGGCAGCATACTTTACTGAACAGCTTCACAGTAGTCCTGGTTAAACAAAGATTTGATATTCCTCAGTTTTTATCAGCTGGAAGCTCTCTTGCTGTGCCCTGTACACATTTAAGCATTTGTACAAAGATTTATGTGTGAAATCGTATGAAATCATAAAGAGATGCCACTAATGCTCAGCAGAACCATTTCAGTCTAATTACTTCAGAATGGATTATTTTTGCTTCTGTATCTATTTACTCTGTCCTAGGATGTCATTTTGCTAGCTGTTTTAGCTGGGCTTGGTGTATAAATAAACTGCAGAAACAGTGGGTAAGTGACTATTCAATATGATTTAAAATCTGTTTTTTTCTTGTTAACTGAGATTATGTGATTACAAAATACATTTTCAGACAGCAGTCTGTCAGTGTAAGTCAAAATGCTTACTTTGCACAACCTTATATAAAAAGCCTAAGTGAATTTGTTAAAACAATTCCAATGCATTGTAACTACTAAGACTACTTGACATAAATTCCATTGACATAAAATTATAAATACTTCTGTCTTCATTGATATTCATAGAAAAACTATTTTGCAAGTGTCAAAAATATTTCTTGCATCTATTGCAGCTTCTTTTTTCTAGTATAAAATAAAAATGTGCAGTACTGCTTTTAAAAGAAAACAGAAAAGTATTTATTTTGAGTAGATTGATGATTTCTTAACGCTTACCCCATTGCTTTGCTAGGTTAGTGTTTTGGTTTTGAGCTGTGTAACATGTGTAACAGCAAACTCTTAAGGAAACCACCATGTCAGTGGCAGCCATTTCACAAAGTTGAATTCTGATCCTACTGTTATTTATTCATTCAGATAATCCCTGGTACGTTCATATGTTCTTGCACTTAAACAAAAGACAATCCAAGTAACCAAAAAAGCCCGTTTCTAAGTCCAAAATACTTGTGAGCAATAAATCAAGCATATTAGAAATTTCACCTTGTTTTCATTCATTTTATTTTTCATCTGTTTGAATTAGTAGTCTACTTTTATTCTGCAGGTATTTAAATAAGAATATTTTCAGAACTTCTAGCATTCCGATACACTTAATTTGTAGATTTATAATTCCAAATGTTATTAAGTAAACAGAGCCTTAAACACAGACTGTATTTAAAAAACCTGATCAATTTTCCAGCCTGTCCTAGGTGCTTTAACAAGTTTCTCAGAATAAAGCTGCCATTTGTCTTCTATTCATTTTGTCTTTTATCTATGTTATATATTTGACAAATGTATAAATAGAACATCCAACCATTTGAAAACTATATTGTTTAAATATAAGCTGTATGCTGTACAATTGAGTTCACAAAGCTTCCATTTTTTCCCCCTCAACTTAGAAAGACAGTATTTTTTCCTTTCACCTTGTGTCACAACTTCGCTGCACTTGGAGAAGCTACCCAGAGATGAGTCCATACCCTTAACCTACACCATTTGTTCCCCCTGCCTTACCATCTGTGGCATAGGTCAGAGATTAAGACAGTTTCTTTCCTTTGCACAAACCAAGCTCTCTAGTTCTGTGATAAGAGCGAGACAAAGAGTGGGTCCCCCTCACATCCCCAGCTTCAGTAGCAGCTTGAAGCTCATCCATTCATAAGCATCACTCCAGGGTTCCAGCTGTGTGTCAGTCAATGCTGCACAGATTTAGAACTTCCAGAATACTTAAATCCATGGAAACCATTCTCTGTCTAGCCATTCTTTGTGACACAAAAAGAGAAAATTCTAGAACACTTCAGCTAACAGTAAGACGTAGCGTAAGTGGCACCAACAAATCTCACACTGAAATCATTACATGAAGTAGAACACAAGTTTCTCAACACTTTCCTACAGATTTATAAAAAGTTATTTTGCTACTGCATGTATTAATGTTAATTTATCCAATGATCAAAGAGACGATGCGTGTTTTAGGCATTTACATCAGATGACACTGAAGAAACGACAGGCAGTGACCATGGTAATGAGTAATGTGCCAGCTAATGACAATGTCTGTTCCACAAAAAGCAATGCAACCACCAAGTCCTTGCCTAAGTAAACAACCCTCATGTCGATACAAGAACTACATACACAATTTTGGCTTATCTTCATACATTAAAATGCAACTATAACTTTAATTTGGATATTCAATAGACTTAACTGCCCTCCTCCACATATGCACACACGGGCCGACTTACTCAGGACGCCGACACCCTGCAGCCATACAGCATGTATGTTACGGATTTCAGTGCAATACCACTACCCAGAGTTACACCCGCTTAACGAAACAACTTTATATACTTCTTCCTGCCGACTCAGCCCTCCTCTACCCTGGGACACTCTCACTAGCAATCACCTGTGGAGACAGCAGGGCTGACAACTTTTCCCGGCTCCCCTCACACTAACGCATACAGGCGGAATGGGGAATCCCGCGCCGCTCCTTTGGAGGAGCACACCGCTAGGAGCACGACCCCGCCTTTCTCCCCTGCCGCGGCTGCCATGGAGAGCGGCGACAAACAGGAACTGGTGTAGCTGCCCACAATCAAGATGGCGGCACCGGACACTTCCCGCTGCCCTTCGCTTCCTGCCGCTGGGGGCAAGCAAGGGATGCACCACCCGACTCTCCGCGCGCCCTTAGCAAAGATGGTGGCGAGAGGCGCTCGCGTGTTCCAGGCAAAGGTCAACGCCGTGACGCATTTTACTTCCGGGTGACCGCCACTAGGCGCCATATTGTCTTGTTCGGGAAGACGGGGAGTGAAAGAGAGGAGGCGACGGTGGAGCGATAGCAGCGGCAGCGCCTGCGGCGGGAGGCAGGGGAGAGTGTAAGTAACGGGGCAGGCTGCGCTCGCCAGCGCTCCCGGGGGCCGGCGGTTGTCGAGCTGACCCGAGCTTCCCTTTCGCTCCTCCTTCTCCTCCTCCCCCAGCCGAGCCGAGCCGAGCCGGGCCGGCAGTCTTTGGAGGGCGTGCAGCTGCGAACGGAAGCCGGTGGCCTGAGTGAGAAGGGCAGACTCGAGCTCTTCGACCGCCCCCGCCGCCCGGTGTTCCGCGGCGCATGCGCGGTGGGGGGACGAAGGGCTGCCGGCGCCGGGGAGCCCTCGGGACCTCGGTCCCTCCTAGCGCGCATGCGCCGCTTTCCTTGCGGGGTCTCCGGTGTCCGCGGAGGCCCGGTCCGTTACCTGCCCGTGCGCATGCCCCGGGGCCGCCCGTGCCGGGAGTGAAGCCGCCGCGGGTGCTGGTGGCCCAGCGCTGTGACCGGGAGCGGCCCGTGAGGAGCGCACGTAAGCGGGCTCGCGGGGGGAGCGCGCAGCCGGCCCGGGCGCGCCGAGGGACCGGTGCTGCTCGGTGCCCGTGCAGCAACGCCCCCGGATGTGTAGGGGAGAACGTCTACTGATGCAGTCAGTAGCCTAGCTAAGGAGCACCAGTAAGGGGTAGCTGACCGTGTCAGCAGCCTGGCTTCTGCAGATAAAATGTCTCCGTGGAATATTTGTGCTGTTTCATGGGTTTCGTGGCGATTCTCGTGAGCTCATTCCGCTGGAGGGCTCCAGAGAACTAACATTAACAGTTTAATTACATGCAGCAACATTTTGAAGATACCTGAACCTGGTTCAGTAGTTTGGTAAACACAGGATGTTTCTACATTGATCCTAAGCAAACCACAGCTTTTTGCATTGATCACTTATGCACAGATTCTCGGACAATCCCACAAAGTTAAACACTGAACTAAACTTGGATGGGATGTGCTAGGCTTTACAGTTAAGGATAAGGCCACAAAAATGGTAAGAGGGCTGGAACAAATCAGTATACAGACTATTCAGCCACCTTGGTTATTGTTTATTTCTTCTCTTACAGCCATACTTGTAAATGTTTGTATGCAAAAAATATTGAAAGGTGTGGGATACAGGGAACGAGGTATGCCCTAAAGGATTTGTGTTAAGGCAGAGTGTCAGCCACCTTTTAAAGATGAGGAATGGTAGTCTTCAAAGCAGAAGTCATGTCTACCAGCAGACAGTATTTAAGCATCATTTTACAAAGGCAAAGTTACAAATAACAGTTCAGTCCAGCTGAATAGCTGTATCACGTGTAGAAGTAAGAAACCCCTTTCAAATTCAAAGGTCAGGCCATGCTAAGAGATAGTGCCGCTTCTGAAGGTGACAGAAGCTGTGCCTCCCTGTGATTGTAAAACTGGGGAACTGAGAGCCTCAGCTTTGTCCAGGGACAAGGTACTGGAATTGCTGACAATTCAGTGACCATCAGAAGACAAGCTACTGATTTCTAATTAGTCTGGGGCAGCAGCAAACCTGGTGTCATCTCTGCTATTATGTCATTACAAGAATTCCTTATTGTCTTTGTCAGAGTGACATGCAAACTCCTGCTCTCAAAGAGTGGTTTCTCCACTTTTGGGCTCGGAGGTATTGGAGGGCTTAAGTCCATGAATTTAGCATAGTTCTGCAGTGTTTTAGTGGGCAGCTCACCATATGTAATCTATAGTGATAGGGAGGAGTCTTAACAATGTTTGATTTTCAGTTAGGTGCAGGATTATGCAAATATACTATGGACACAGTGGTGTCCTGTCTCCCTTCTTTTCATGACTGAGATACCTGCCTTTGGCAACAAGTGACACTATGAGCAGGTTTTATTAAACCTTTTTTCATCACTAGCTGAGCTCTCTTCCTTAAGTGATAATGTGTATCATTGAGGGTAATATCTGCTCCTGACCAGCAATGAGTAGTTGGTTGGTTGTTTAGTTATTGGTAGTACTCTTTGTGCAGTGCATATTCGTCAAGGAGGAAGTTGCAGATGGACAGTTCACTTCAGAAAAAACATAATGCTAATTGCAAATCTAGCATCAGGTCTTCTGTTGGAATGATATGTGCAAAAAATAAGCAGATCAGACTTCCCCCAAAATTCATTTTGTTCTTTTGAAAGGGTTGGCTTCAGCTGAGTGGATATGTAGATTGAAGTTTAAAGTAGCAGACTGTGGAAGCACTGCTTGAATGACTCACTGAAGTTTTCATAGTACTTTTTTTTTTGTTTTTCCTTTTTTTTTTTTATTTGGCCTTTGCTCAGCCTACTTCATCTTGGTAGCACTGTATTAGTCGGACATGCTGATGTGTGAACCTGGTTCTGGAAAACTTTGTCCCAGAACAAGCTGTTTTCTTCAGTTCTTTTTCTGGTTCTGTATTTTGGATCTTGGTTACACATTTGGAAGGCCTCTGTTCTTCAATCTGAGAAAGAATAGTTATGATGTGGCAGAATGGGTGTAACTGAAGTTACGCTGATGCAGTGGAGTAAGTGAAGTTGACTTCCAGCATTCTAGTAATGCACAGATGTAAATAGGCTGGAAGAATTTTGCATGTTTTTGGCTGGACACAGCAGACACACCAGTTTAGCTACTAGCTCTTAAGAGAAAGATCCATACTTTCTGGGCATTAAACATCTGCAACAGTTTAGGGTAATTCCCTAAGGGATGTATAGAAGTTTGTGCTCAACTTAAAGTGTGATAGGTGAAACAGAGTAGCAGTCAACATAGTTATTTTAATTTTTTTTTCCTAATTTATTACAAACTTATCTCAGCCCAGAAAAGTTTCATTTTCTAAGCAGCAGCTGAGTATAATACAGTACTAAATATTCATTTTCACAAACGAAATGGAAGCTGGTGTGCTTTTGTCTGAAAGATAGTACTCATTTGTTCTGACTCTGAGTGAATGTGTGTCTGCAGCCCTTCTGGAGTAATGCCTAGAGTTGGTTCCTACACAGGTGCATAGGGTGCAGAATGCTCCCATACTCCCAGATCTTTTCAGCTGCAGAGGCATTCTGATTTATGTGGGTCCCCCCCATTAGGACCACCAGCTGTTGATTCTTGTGGTACCCTTTTGCATTAAATTTTTCATCTTGGTAGAAGGGCTCCTCTGGCTGTGTGAGGCTATTTTTCTTTTGTACCTCTCTTTTCAGTCACCTGCTGTGTACATATTATTACAGTAAATTATTCTTTATTCCAGTGGCACAGTAGTGGAAGATGTGCTTAGTTTTAAATTTCCTTCCAGTTTGGAGCACACTGAGATAGATATTCTTCGAATCTATACATTGTGTCCTTTATTGAGTTTGGACTCCAGTTCACATGGATGAGCTGCTCTGTGTCATTCCTTGGGAGAAACATGTGAACTGTTGGGGTTGTATCTGTATTTATCCACTAGTCCTTCCAGCCTCATCAGTGATGCCTCTGCTGTCATGACCCTAATGAAGCAGTAGCATAGTGGGAGGGGGAGGGGGAAGGTGGGAGAGAAGCAGCTCTCAAGCTTGAACTCTTCATGTTGTTGGTCTGATTCCTGTCTTTCTGCTACCTGCTTTGTTCTAGGGTTGTGAATGTATGGTTAGATTTATCCTGTGTGCAAATGAGTGGTTCCATAAAATTCATCACAGAAATTCACTGTAAACCTTCAGTCACTGTGCTAAAACTTCACAAAGTCAATTTCGACTACCTTGAATGAAAGGAAGATACCTTACATTAGAACAAGGTGCTTATACAAAAGGTCAAGAGATCAGGCTTTTGATTTCAAGGGCCTCTACTTCTGAGACATCTTCTTTTTCCTTTAGGTCCATCTCCAGGCTTAAGCCTATAGGGGACAGAGAAACTCTGTCCACACAGTATGTGGTGCTTTTGAGATCCTTCTGTGGATGCGAGATGGGTAACTCCCTGCAGCCCAGGAGTTCCACGAAGAGCATCAGAGACTGCTGCTTGTGTTGTCTTGAACTCATGCTGAAAGCTAATGGCACTGATTATTTAATATTAATTCATTTCAAAACCAGTATTTGCAGTTTATTACAAACCAGGAATCCAACCTCTTGGGATCCTTTCCTTCAGCTGCTCTGTAGATCAAAAGATAGCCAAAAGTCATGGCTGCAGTGGCAGGTTGTCTTAGAGGAGATGCAGGATCTGTAGGTTTGTTTTGTTGCTTTTTTTTTACTCTATGAATGCAATATCAAAAAGTGTGTGTTGCATTTAAATCCTGGGGTCCAAAGGCTAGCTATATAGGTGTTCTCAAAGCATGCATGATTGCCTGTGGTTTCAGCTTCTTTCTTTATTTAGATGGTGGATACTTTGCTAAAATGCAGTGCCTATTTGGAAGGCCTTCAAGATGAGATCTTCAGTCACTGCAAGAACTTCTGCAGCTATGTGTTAGAGCTCAGATTGCAAGTAAAACTTGTCAGGCCATCTTGCATCACTTGTGGACCAGGCGTTCAGGGATGATGAGTAACATTATCAGGAAGGTGATGCAATAGCTTCTCTTCTGCATCAGAAAGCACTTGGTTATTTGCTTTGGTTCTGTAGGCTCTGGAATCATATTATTAGTCTACCTGTCTACAGGCTTGAATAAACCAGACTGCCAGATTGTGTGTCCTGGAGATCTAGTCAAATGATGTTGATGTCTGATGTAAGAGTTCCTGACTTTGATCTTTTAAGTTCATGACACAGCAAAAGGTGCCTGCTCTGTTCCTCCTAGGGACAGCTTGAGTCCTAGGCTCTCTCCTTCTTTCTTGGTGTTGAGGTAATCTTTCTTCTAACAAATACCCTGTTTAATTTCATTTTCCAGAGATTAATTGTATTTCATTGCTAAGATATTTCACTTCCATGAATTTCTTGGGACAACCCATTCAGAATCTCCAAATCTCTTCTGCAGAAGGTGTCAGTGTGCAAGGTGTTCTGCTGTGTAACATTCATAATGAGGAGAAGCATAATGTCACAACAGGAAGTTAGAGCAAGAAAAGAGTGTGCTTGATGTACTCGCCTGGCCAACTAGGTATGGTTAGCTATTTTCCTGATGCTCACCTGGAGCTGAGGTAACTTTGTAAGTATCTGTGTTTCTTGTCTTAGACTATCTGCATCCATTGGAGAAATTGAGATTATCCATTAGCTCTCTTAAATTTTATGTAGGGGCAAGTCTTGCTTACCTTTCAAGGTGAAACTTCCTGATATTTTTCAGTTCTGCTGCAACCAGTGTCATAGGTGTATAAGAAAGATAGCATCTCCAGGATGATAAGTGGGCTTTGTCTCTTGAACTTCACAGGACTGAGCCTTGCTCCCTAAGACTGTTCCTATGTATGGTTGAGAGGGCTGAGCATAGTTACCTCTGCACAAGTGCTATTGAACTGGCTATCAGATTTGATAATCTTATACTACAAAGCTGCCAGTGTAGAGTTGTCTGAGGAATCTGAGTGAGCCTGGTAGAGCTCAAGTTCGATTGGTGGCCTTGTCTAAAAAACAGGCCCATTTTTTACA